CATTAACTGTATCCCTTATCCTTATCATTCCATTGTTAGTTGTTATAATTAATATTGGTTAACAAAAAATCATATTTAAAAAATATAAATATTTGTCCAACCCCCTCCCCCTGGCATCCCCCATCCCATTGTCCAATCTGCAAATCCCTCAGGTGTCATGTGGGTTGCATCTCCACGAAACATCATCAGGTTGGTATGCAGACTGGGAAAATATGGTCAGAATATTTGAGCAAGGTGACCAAGTATGTGCCCGAAATTATACTGGTCAACCCCTATGGGTGCCAACACATATCACAGAAGTCATGGGTCACCGTTTGTATCGGGTGGAGCTTGAGAATGGACAGTGGCGCTGACATATGGACCAGCTTCGGAGCCGTGCAGTGAGGACAGCTGCTAGGGAGCTGGAAAAAGAGAACTGGGGTTGGGATCCAGAAGAGCAAGAAAGACAACAATGCAGTGAAATGGTATCAGAAGGGCCGAGTCCAATGCAGAATGACACACCTGTTATTGAGGGTCCACTGCTGCAGAGTCCGTCTCACTCTTCATCTCCAGCTGAGGGATATGTCCAGTTGGAGGCCCCGGATAGCATTAGTAATCCATCTGATATAGTTGAAGAAGTGTTGAGAATGTGGTCGACAGGTGGGGCCCGATAGAAATACAAGAGAGCCGCAAGTCAACATGAAGCCGTCAAAGACCGATGTATCTGGACAATTATGTTTGTGTAGTACGAAATTAATGGAACATCCCGCGGGTGGGAAGGGGTATTATGTTTACGCAGGCACGAGCAGAGGCTTTTCCTTCTGCTGTGCAAGTGCAGGACATATTTTAAAGTTATTCGTTAACGGCTGATAGCTTCCCATAAAGGGAGCTGTCAGCTGGAAGCTGGATGTTGGTTTACAGTCTGGTCTTATCTTGAATAAACAGCATTGCTGGAATCAGGCTCCTCATCTGTTCCCCATGCACAACATTGCATGAACTATTTAAAAAAGGGTGGACTGGGTCTTCCAAATGTTAGAAATTATTGGGTAGCTAATCAATTAAAGGTGGTCCCAGATATTATAGCAGTAACTAGAGATTTAATATGGAGGGATATAGAGTTAAAAGAATTAAGGGAAACAGGTGATCCTATAGAAACATATTGGTTTAAAAGGGTTATTAAAAAAATTGTTAGGAGGGTTCCTGGGGTGATGTCACATTGGAGCAGCTACAGGGGAACGAGTCTCCGTTCTCCCTGTCTGATTTTTCGTGTCTGGATCTCCATCAGAGCTGACTGCGTGAGGGTGGCTGGGATCTCCATTCATCAGATCTTCATGCCATCCTTTCTCCGC